TGCACGAGGAGATCTGGCTGCGTCGCCCACCTGGCTTCACTGGGTCTTTTCCTCCTGGCACCCAGTGGAGCCTACGGCGGCCAGTCTACGGTCTCCGCCAGGCACCGCGTGAGTGGCACGACACACTGAGGACTACACTTGCGGCTCTTGGGTTTGCTCCCTCTACTGCCGACCCGTCGCTGTTTCTGCGCACCGACACTTCTTTGCCGCCGTTCTACATCCTCGTGTACGTCGACGACTTGGTCTTTGCCACAGCTGACACTGCAGGACTAGCCCACGTGAAGTCCGAGCTGCAGAAGAGACACACGTGCACTGACCTGGGTGAACTGCGCAGCCACCTTGGCTTGCAGATCACTCGGGACAGAGCACGCCGCACCATTACCCTGACTCAGTCACACATGGTGCAGCAGGTCCTTCAGCGCTTCGGCTTCACGTACTCCTCGCCTCAGGCCACTCCTCTGCCTACTCGCCACTCGCTCTCAGCTCTGCCTTCGGATGAGTCCGTAGAGTCGAGTGGCCCGTACCCAGAGCTTGTTGGCTGCCTCATGTACCTGATGACCTGCACACGACCTGACCTTGCATACCCTCTTAGCATTCTTGCACGCTATGTTGCTCCTGGGAGACACAGACCGGAGCACATGGCTGCAGCGAAGAGGGTGTTGCGCTACTTGTGCAGTACGTCGGGCATGGGGCTTGTGCTTGGAGGGCAGAGTCCAGTGGTCCTTACTGGGCACGCAGACGCTTCTTGGGCTGACGACCAGGCTACGCAGCGGTCGTCACAGGGTTACACCTTCAGCCTTGGTTCCGGCTCTGTTTCGTGGCGGGCTACTCGCTCGTCTTCTGTTCTCGGCTCCAGTTGTGAGGCTGAGGTCTACGCAGGAGCCATGGCTGCACAGGAGCTTCGCTGGCTCACCTACCTGCTGACTGACCTCGGAGAGTTGCCTCGTTCTCCTCCAGTGCTGTACGTAGACAACAAGGCCATGCTGGCCTTGTGTCGGGAGCAGCGACTGGAGCACAGAACGAAGCACATTGCTCTCCGCTACTTTCTTGCTCGTGAGCTGCAGCAGCGTGGTCAGCTGCGTCTTGCGTACGTGGCCTCTGAGGCCAACACTGCTGATATCTTCACCAAGGCACTTGCGCCTTGTGACCATCAGCGCTTCTGTACTCAGCTGGGCCTTGTGCCTACCTTGCCTCACTTGCTCACCTCTTGACCTTGCTTGTACTGTTACATATATATATACCTGCTCTTGCTTGTCTAGCCTTTTTATATATATGTGTACTCCTGCTTGTGAACTGGCCTTGTGGCCTTGAACTTGTGCTCGGAATGTGTGGTGACTTTGTGATCCACCCTGAGCTTGCTTTGCTTTGCTTTGCTTGACTGGTCTTGTGACCCCTTGTTCTCCCCCACTTTGCCTATGGGGTTGTGTCAGAACATCATAGCTCATGCATATTGTGTAGGCTATAGTGGGGTACTCCATAAGGGGTACAACCCAATTAGGGTTAGTACTTGTACCCAATTCATTCATAGTTCATCCATTCCGGTTTTCTTGATTCACACTTTGGACTGACCAACGCCCCCGCCACCTTTCAAATGACCATGAACGAAGCTTTCCGTCCGCTTTTAGATAAGTGTGTCATCGTATACCTGGACGACATACTGATTTACAGCCCTGACAGAGCATAGCACTTACAGGACATCAAAGCAGCTTTTAAGATACTGAGTGAGAACCGCCTACTGACAAAAGCGTCTAAGTGTGAGTTTTTACAGGACCGACTGGAGTTTTGGGGACACGTTATTTCAGCTGCAGGAGTGGAAATAGACCCGAAAAAAATCGCGACGATTCAAGCCTGGCACGCGCCGACCAACTTGACCGAGTTGCAGTGTTTTTTGGGGTTCGTCAACTATGTGCGCCGGTTCGTCCCCGACATGGCGAAGCTGACTGCCCCGCTGACCGACCTGCTGAGGAAGGGGGTTGAGTAGACGTGGGGGGAGAAAGAGCAAGCTGCCTTCTCGGCCCTAAAAAACATTTTGTGCTCACCGCCCGTGCTTCACATCGCAGATCCGCACCGTCCGTTCGAGCTCGTCACCGACGCAAGTGACATCGCTGTGGGAGCAGTACTGTTGCAGGACTTCGGGAACGGCCTCCAGCCAATCGCGTACGAGTCCCGCAAGCTGCACCCGCCCGAACGCAACTACCCGATACACGACCGCGAAATATTGGCGATCGTGCACGCGTTCAAGGTTTGGCGGTGTTACCTGACTGGCGTCGACGTGACAGTACGGACAGACCACCGATCACTACAGTACCTGCGTGCCCAACCAAATCTCAATCCGCGACAGATTCGCTGGTTGGACTACCTCGAGTCCAACTTCCACTACACGGTTACGTACAAAAAAGGCGCATCCAACATCGCCGACGCACCCACCCGCCCTACCGCCCAACTCCATGCCATCCTACTCGCCCAAACCAACCCGCTTTTAACAGGCCTATTCACCCACGGATACCGCACCGACCCATTTTTCACGACCGGAAATTCACAGCAACTGGCAGAAGCTAAGGGAGCTTATTACGTAAAAACAGGCACCAACCGCATTTGGGTACCCGCGTACTCACTGCTGAGGGAGCTGTTACTGCAGGAGGCACACGACGGAATTACCTCGGGACATTTTGGGGTAGAAAAAACGCGACAGCAACTGCAGCGGTATTACTACTGGCCGGAGCTGTTCACCGACGTGCAGCAGCACGTGGGCTCGTGTCCCACGTGTCAGGTGATGAAGAGCTCGAGGAAGCGGAAGGCGGGTCAACTGCAGCTGATACCACCGCCCGAGCGCGCCTGAAAGCAGGTTACCATGGACTTCGTCACAGGGTTACCTTCGAACCCTGGGGGTAACGACGCGGTGATGGTCGTCGTTGACAGGTTGACGAAGATGGCACACTTCGCTGCGTGCAAAAAGTCGATCTCAGCCGAGGAGACCGCTCGCCTGTTCATCGCAACCGTTGTTCGCCTGCACGGGATACCAGCAGCGATTATCAGCGACAGGGACACGAAGTTCACCAGCAACTTCTGGAAGAACCTCTGGGAGCAGTTCGGAACACGGCTACAGTTCAGCTTGTCGTACCACCCCGAGACCGACGGTCAAACGGAGCGGACGAATTAGACGATGGAGCAGTTGATTCGTGCCACGTGCGACGACCCGACCACTTGGGAGCAGCAGCCGCCGCTGATCGAATTCGCGTACAACAACGCCACGTCAGCGACGATGCAGCAGTCCCCCTTCTACTTGAACTACGGGCAAAACCCTACAGTGCCCATGACGCCGAGTCCGGACAACCCAACACCACGTGCACAGCAATTCGCCGAAATTCTGCAAGCTGCCCGCACCAGAGCCGCAGAAGCAATTAAAAAGGCAAACGTCATCGCTAAGCGCAATGCTGACCGCCACCGCCGCCGAGTCACGTACCAGTCAGGGGATTACGTGCTGCTCGACACGCAAAATCTGCGACTGCCCGACGTACCGAAACTTCGACCGCGCTACTGTGGCCCATTCCAAATCAGCCACATGATCACGACAGTAACCGCGCACCTACTGTTACCGACCGACTGGTACATCAGCCCATCGTTCCACGTCAGCCTACTTCGCCCGTACATCCCAACCACCAGCCAACTGCCTCGTCACCACCCGCATTCCATGACTCGCCCTGCATCGGAGCCGATCATCGAGCCCGAAAAATTCTGAGCCATCGGATTCGCCACCCCACGGGAATCAGGAGGATTGAATTCCTCGTTCGCTGGAAGGACCGCACGCCAACTGAAGATAGCTGGGTGCCCCTGGCCAACATCGAAAACCACCCTGCCCTGCAAGTGTACCTAAGGAGCCGGGGATTCCGCGATATACACGCACTCGCGTAGCGGAGGGGGCTTCTTGAGGGGGGGGGGGGGGGGGGGGTAGTGTAAGGAATTTTCTCAACATTCCTTACGGAGTCCGACTACATCGCGTACAGCAACAGCCGTTGTTCGCCCGTTACTGCTAACGGGGCTTCGCCAACTTCGCGCGCACTATTTTGCCAAACCTCGCACTGCTGGCCCAGCCGTGTCAGCCTACACTTCAGGACTAGCCCGAGCCTCGCTGCCAGCGTAGCACTAGCTAGCTCGCACGCACCGCGTTACCGTTTGCATGTTTCGCGTATAAATGTTCGCTCATGCCTTCGATCACATTTTGTACTCGTTTGACACCTTAGTGCAATTCTCGCTACCTCGATCCAGTGCACCCGTAACACACACACACTGATATGACTAATTTTAAGGGCAAGTCCAACTTTGTTCATTTACAGTTCTTAGTACACTGCTTTGGTTTGGTAAACAACAACCACCGCTCTTGAATGTACAATATCTTAATCAACCGTCGAATCAGAACTCGAACCAGCATTGACCCGCCCGTTCCATCTGTTCCAGCTTCCCACAGCTCACTCAACTCAACCCAACCTCTGGGTGATGTGGTAGTCCCCTTTCTCCCTCGTTTGACCAATCATAATGACCCACACGGATTGCTTTGATTGCGTCCTCTGCAACGCGCTGCGTGCTTCAGTTTCCCCCCACACCATACCGAAACAAGCATTACCGATTTCGACCATACCAGCCCGCCCCCCACGGCATTCTTGTCTAAGGGCGGGTCCAGCGCGTACGTTTACAGGTACTATTCAGTTCATTCGTCGTGGTTTAAAACAATATAAGCGTTGCACTGCGGTTTTAAAATTGCACCGTTTTGAACCGTGACGCATTACAGATTACCGTACTGGATGAACTGTAATGTACGGAAAACGAACGCGCTGGACCCGCCCTAAGCACAGGTTGCAGCTTTCTGCAGTGGTGCAGGGAGGAAACTCGTCACGACACCACATCACACTGCATAACACAGAAGCAGGCAGTTTTATCCTACCAGATTCACTCTTTCTTCCACCACCCTCGTCACCTCACTCCGAGAGTCTCTTCTTTCCGCCATGGCAGCCGCATCTTGCGCCATCGCGCACTCCGCCTCGCGCCTCATTTCCCCCTCTCCCGCCACCACCCTGCGCTCCTCCTTCCTCTCCTCCCCCGCGACCGCTCTCCCCATCCAGATACCCCGCTCTCCCCCCTGCACTTCCGCTCCGCTTGCGCCGATCCCCGCCGTGCGCGCATACGCAGAGCCGCCTAAACAGGGCGCGATCGGGAACTTTTTCGCGAGATTAACGGGCGCGCTGCCGGTGGTGGGGCTCGTGTCGCGCATCGCGAGCGACGAGGGCGGCGTCGGCACGGACCGCATTCACTACGCGGAGTTCTGCCGGCGCGTTGAGAAGCGCTTGCCGCAGGGCGCGTGGATGGCGGTTCGCGAGTTCGAGGCCCGCTTCGGCAAGGTTCGTCCTTTTGTCCTCTTTGTTTGTTCGCTCGAATTGGTTCGGTTTTCGGATCGGTCAGATTCGGTTGAGTTCCGGTTTGCAGGTTGCGTGCTATAAGCATCTACCTGCTTGCGATTGCGATGTGAAGTTGGAATGAGCATAGGCACATGCATAGGATGGGCATAAGCATGGGCATGGTGATGGGGACGGGGATGGGCATGGGCATGGGCATGGGCATGGGCATGGGCATGGGCACGGGAATGTGCGCGATAGTAGTGCGCGCACGGTAGGAGAGAGAGTGCGCATGCAGAGCAGTCGCGCCAGGATGCGGGTGGCGGAGCGCGCGGCTGATTAGCGGAAGGCGCACGCGGAAGGCGCACGCGGAAGTTGGGGGGGAAGCTGTCGAGACAAATTGCGGACTAACTAGGGAGGGAAGGGAAGAATACGAGAGGAGCGGAAGCGGGAGAAGAAGCGGAAGAGGTGGAGAGAGAGGGTACGGCGAGTATGGGAGAAGAGAGGGAAGGGATGGAAGGGACGGCGAGCAGAGTGGGATGAACGGGAGGTGGAGAGAGGGAGGGAGGGGTGTAGAGGTGAGAGTTGAGAGGGAGTGTTAGGGGTTGCGATGGGGGAGAGAGGGGAGGCGAGAGAAGAAGGTTTGGTGAGATGGGAGAAGTCCGCGGGTGGTGCTCCATGGCCGTGCTGTTGGCTGCAGAGGGGCTTCATTTCCCATGCCTTCTTATGCATGCCCCACTCCCCATGCCCATGCCACATGCCCCATGCCCCACGCCCCATGTCCCATACCCCATGCCCCATCCCCCACGCCCCATTCCCCATGCCCATGCCGCATGCTCCATGCCCCATTCCCACGCCCCATGCCCCATGCCCATGCCCATGCCAATGCCCATGCCCCATGCCCATGCCCATGCCAATGCCCATGCCCCATGCTCATGCCCATGCCAATGCCCATGCCCCATGCTCATGCCCATGCCAATGCCCATGCCCCATGCTCATGCCCATGCCAATGCCCATGCCCCATGCTCATGCCCATGCCAATGCCCATGCCCCATGCTCATGCCCATGCCAATGCCCATGCCCCATGCTCATGCCCATGCCAATGCCCATGCCCCATGCTCATGCCCATGCCAATGCCCATGCCCCATGCTCATGCCCATGCCAATGCCCATGCCCCATGCTCATGCCCATGCCAATGCCCATGCCCCATGCTCATGCCCATGCCAATGCCCATGCCCCATGCTCATGCCCATGCCAATGCCCATGCCCCATGCTCATGCCCATGCCAATGCCCATGCCCCATGCTCATGCCCATGCCAATGCCCATGCCCCATGCTCATGCCCATGCCAATGCCCATGCCCCATGCTCATGCCCATGCCAATGCCCATGCCCCATGCTCATGCCCATGCCAATGCCCATGCCCCATGCTCATGCCCATGCCAATGCCCATGCCCCATGCTCATGCCCATGCCAATGCCCATGCCCCATGCTCATGCCCATGCCAATGCCCATGCCCCATGCTCATGCCCATGCCAATGCCCATGCCCCATGCTCATGCCCATGCCAATGCCCATGCCCCATGCTCATGCCCATGCCAATGCCCATGCCCCATGCTCATGCCCATGCCAATGCCCATGCCCCATGCTCATGCCCATGCCAATGCCCATGCCCCATGCTCATGCCCATGCCAATGCCCATGCCCCATGCTCATGCCCATGCCAATGCCCATGCCCCATGCCCATGCCCATGCCAATGCCCATGCCCCATGCTCATGCCCATGCCAATGCCCATGCCCCATGCTCATGTCCATGCCAATGCCCATGCCCCATGCTCATGCCCATGCCAATGCCCATGCCCCATGCTCATGCCCATGCCAATGCCCATGCCCCATGCTCATGCCCATGCCAATGCCCATGCCCCATGCTCATGCCCATGCCAATGCCCATGCCCCATGCTCATGCCCATGCCAATGCCCATGCCCCATGCCCATGCCCATGCCAATGCCCATGCCCCATGCTCATGCCCATGCCAATGCCCATGCCCCATGCTCATGCCCATGCCAATGCCCATGCCCCATGCTCATGCCCATGCCAATGCCCATGCCCCATGCTCATGCCCATGCCAATGCCCATGCCCCATGCTCATGCCCATGCCAATGCCCATGCCCCATGCTCATGCCCCTTCCCCAAATGGTTCGTCATCTGGTGTTTGGATCGCAGCAGTGGAGCCGAAATTCATCCTTTCACTCAACTCTCCTCCACCCCCGCACCTTCCCCACGCCTCCCACGCCCCATTTCCTTCGCCCCCCCCCCCCCCCCCACCTCATCCAGATGGCCTGGCCAGGGCTGGTGTTCATGTGGTGCTGGATCAAAGCGGTGGGGCCAGGGTACGCCCTTCACTCAACTCTTCGTCTTCACCCACCGCACCTTCCCCACGCCTCCCACTCCCCATTTCCTTTCTTCCCCCCTTCAAACTACGTGCAGATGGCGCGGCCAGGGCTGGTGTTCATGTGGTGCTGGATCGCAGCGGTGGGGCCGGGGTACGTGCGGCGGGAGGCCATTCTGTTGGGCGCACGGCGCCTGCGCGCGTCCCAGGATGCGGACTACGAGCTGGGGGTGTTTGACCAGCAGCTTGACGACCCCTCCAAGGTGCGTGCGTCTGCAGCAGCAGTGCCGGTGGAAGCCAGGGCAGAGGTGGCTCTAGGCGCCATCCTCCACTGCTGTGTGGGACCGCCCTCTCAATCCATTCATGTCCATCCCCCACCCACTTCACTCCCTTCACTCCCTTCTCTTCCTTATCCCTTTCCCCCCCACACCCACCCCTGTCCATAGCTGTCCGGCATACTTTCCCAGACGCCCCTCCGTCTCTCCCTGCTCTCTCTCGCCATTCAGTCGCAGCTCGCTTTCCCATTTTTCCTATCCCACCCACTCGCCCGCCCACCCATCCACCCACCCACCTTTCTTTTCACCCACAGGTGAAGACAGTGCCGGTGGCAGCAGCAGCGGTGCCGGTGGAGGCCAGGGCAGAGGTGGCTCTAGACGCCATTCTCGACTGCTGCGTGGGGCCGCCCTTCTCTCTCTCCATTCAAATGCGTTGTCCTTTCCCCTGCCCGACCCTCCCAACCCGCAGGTGAAGACAGCGCCGGTGGCAGCAGCAGCAGTGCCAGTCGAGGCCAGGGCAGAGGTGGCTCTAGACGCCATACTCGACTGCTGCGTGGGGCCGCCATCTCAGCGCCAGATGGACGACGATGATTGGCAGCTGCTGCTCACAATCCTCGCTGGCGTGTTCCCGTCTGCTGATCCGACTGCGCTGGAGAATGCTGTGAATGCACGCAGGGAGGCCAGCTTGCCTGGTGAGGGGGCAGTGGAGGAGTCGTCTGCCTGACTTGGTGCTCTGGTTAGAGTGTGGTTGGTTGTGCGCTGCTGCACTGCTCTTGTGGGAGATTCGATCCGACTGCGCTGGAGAATGCTGTGAATGCACGCAGGGAGGCCAGCTTGCCTGGTGAAGGGGCAGTGGAGGAGGAAGAGGAGACGGAGTAGGTTCTATTCTGATCTTATCTGAAAGCGCTGCTTTGAGTGTGGTTGTGTGTGAACCAGTTATAACTCTGTACAAGGGCTGACTACCAGTAGTGGCGGTGAGTCGGTCGGTAACGGCAGTGTAGCGGGGAAGCTACACCATCCGGATGGTACAGTAAATGCCTTCCGCTACGCAGGATTTGACCATGATGCACGGGAATGTATGCGGAGGAGAATGTATGCGCGTAGGGCAACGACCTTGACTTGAGAGAATGTAGTATGCCTGGCTGGTAAAGGGGAGGTGGAGGAGTCAGCCTGATTTGATGGCTGTGTTGATTGGCGTTGCTACTGTATCTGCTTTGGGTGTGGATGAGTGGGTGAACTGAACAGGGTTCTTGATGTGAAAGAATGAGGAAATGAATGCACTAGGAAACAGGTGGGTACAAGTAGGAAAACCTAAAAGTGTTGTACCCCATATTGTTTACCCCACTACAGCCTACACAGACTATAGCATATAAGTTTGACACACCCCCATAGGCAAAGTGGGGGAGAACAAGAGGTCACAAGACCAGTCAAGCAAAGCACAGTAAGCTCAGGGTGGATCACAACGTCACCACACATTCCGAGCACAAGTTCAAGGCCACAAGGCCAGTTCACATGCAAGATCATATATAAAGGTAAACAAGCAAGGGCAGGTATAGGAAGATCACAGTACAAGCAAGGTCAAGAAATCAGCAAGTGAGGCCAAGTAGGCACAAGACCTAGCATCGTACAGCAGCGCTGATGATCACAAGGCGGAAGTGCCTTGGTAAAGATATCAGCAGTGTTGGCCTCAGAGGCCACGTAAGCAAGGCGCAGCTAACCACGCTGCTGCAGCTCACGAGCAAGGAAGTAGCGAAGAGCAATGTGCTTCGTTCTGTGCTCCAGTCTGTGCTCCCAACACAAGGCCAGCATGGCCTTGTTGTCTACGTACAGAACTGGAGGAGAACGAGGCGGCTCTCCTAGGTCAGTCAGCAGGTAGGTGAGCCAGCGTAGCTCCTGTGCAGCCATGGCCCCCGCATAGATCTCAGCCTCACAGCTGGAGCCGAGAACAGAAGACGAGCGGGTAGACCGCCACGAAACAGAGCCGGAACCAAGGCTGAAGGTGTAACCCTGTGACGACCGCTGCGTAGCCTGGTCGTCAGCCCAAGAAGCGTCTGCGTGACCTGTAAGGACCACTGAACGCCGCCCTCCAAGAACTAACCCCATGCCCGACGTACTGCACAAGTAGCGCAACACCCTCTTCGCTGCAGCCATGTGCTCTGGTCGGTGTCTCCCAGGAGCAACATAGCGTGCCAAGATGCTAAGAGGGTATGCAAGGTCAGGTCGAGTGCAGGTCATCAGGTACATGAGGCAGCCAACAAGCTCTGAGTACGGGCCACTCGGCTCTACGGACTCATCCGAAGGCAGAGCTGAGAGCGAGTGGCGAGTAGACAGAGGAGTGGCCTGAGGCGAGGAGTACGTGAAGTCGAAGCGCTGAAGGACCTGCTGCACCATGTGTGACTGAGTCAGGGTAATGGTGCACTGTGCTCTGTCCTGGGTGATCTGCAAGCCAAGGTAGCTGCGCAGTTCACCCAGGTCTGTGCACGTGTGTCTCTTCTGCAGCTCGGACTTCACGTGGGCGAGTCCAGCAGTGTCAGCAGTGGCAAAGACCAAGTCGTCGACGTACACGAGGATGTAGAACGGCGGCAAAGAGGTGTCGGTGCGCAGAAACAGCGACGGGTCGGCAGTAGAAGGAGCAAAGCCAAGAGCCGCAAGTGTAGTCCTCAGTGTGTCGTGCCACTCACGGGGCGCCTGGCGGAGACCGTAGACTGGCCGCCGGAGGCTCCACTGGGTACCAGGAGGAAACGACCCAGTGAAGCCAGGTGGGCGGCGCAGCCAGATCTCCTCGTGCAGGCTGCCCTGCAAGAAAGCTGTGCTGAAGTCAAGAGAGTGAAGCTCGTAGTCGCGCTGAGCGGCTATGTGCAGCAGCACCCGAAGATTGGTCATCTTCGGGGTGGGAGAGAAGGTTTGAAAGTATTCAACTCCCTGCCGCTGACTGAAGCCTCGAGCCACGTAACGCGCCTTGAAGACAGGCGGAGAACCCGGCGGCCGCTTCACCCTGAAAATCCACATGCCACTGACGATGTTCGCCCCAGGAGGGGGAACCTCGTCGACGTAGGTGCCTGTGGACTTCCAGGATGCCATCTCTGCTTCCATGGCTGACTGCCACTGAGAGGAGTAGGGACCCTCTATCGCCTCTGCGTAAGAGCGCGGAGTCGGGATGTCTGGTGCATCCGGGTCTCCCTCAGGGGCAATCAGCATGGACACGAGATGAGGCAAAGCAGCAGCAAAACACTGGAACTCCTCCTGCCTGTCCTCAAGGACGTCCGTGCTAAGAGCACACTCACCCTCGACGGACGGAGGACAGACAGACTCAGACTCAGCAACAAGACTAGCAGCGTAGTCTAGACGACAGTGAGCAGCGAAGTCGACCAACTCAGCAACTAAGGCAGACGCAGCAGTGGACTCAAAGGAAGGGTCAGTGACAACAGTAGCCAGGAGACGCGTGACAGTAGGACTGGCAGCACGAAGAGAGTCCGACTCCGGGTCAGCAAGAGCAGGAAGAGAGGACTCTGGAGGAGACGGCAAAGGGACACGCTGCGGAGCAGTGGAAGGACGCAGTGCCATCTGGTGCGTGGCCGGGACCGCAGGAGGACGCTGACGCGGAACACGACTACTAGTGCGAGCAGCACGAACAAGCGACGCAGGACGAGACGCAGGCGCACGACGCTCAGCAAGACCTCCAGTAGGACCAGTGTAGGGAGAAGGAGCAGGCAGTGGGGAGGCGGGCTGTAACTGTGACTGCGACTGGCCAGGCTGTGGACACTCTAAGGGAGGAGCAGGACCAGTAGAAGGCGGGAGACCAAGAACCTGCTCAAGGAGCGGAACGAAGTACGGCCGCGGCCGCGCAGCGCCTCCAGAAACAGCAGGGACAGCACCAGTACCCCCAGCGGCAGCACCAGCGCCAGCAGCACCTCCAGCTCCAACACCCCCAGCAGCTCCAGCTCCAGCAGCTCCAGCAGCACCTACTCCAGCAGGACCGCCAGCTCCAGCACCGCCAGCAGCTCCAGCACCAGGAGCACCTCCAGGCCCAGCAGCTCCAGTACCCCCAGCAACACCAGCAGCACCTCCAGCAGGACCAGCGCCAACAGCTCCAGCAGCACCCCCAGTCCCAGCAGCTCCAGTACCGCCAGTAGGAGCACCTCCAGGACCAGAGGCTCCAGCACCTCCAGCGCCGACCCCAGGGTCAGCAGCAACACCAACTCCAGTAGGCTCAGCGCTCTCAGCTCCAGCTCCAGCAGCACCACGGAGGCTGCGACAGTACCGAGAGTACCACTCACGCAGCTGCTGGGAAGAGAGAGCGCCCCCAGGCGCAGCACCCCCAGGCTCAGGACCTCCAGACCCAGCACCACCAGGGACAGCACCCCCAGGCTCAGCACCTGCAGTCTCTGCACCCCCAGGCTCAGCACCCGCAGTCTCCGCTCCCCCAGGCTCAGCACCCCCAGTCTCCGCACCCCCAGGCTCAGCATCAGGCTCAGTACCTCCAGACCCAGCACCACCAGGCTCAGCACGCTCAGTACCTCGCGCAGGACCAGAGTCGACAGCTACCTCGACAGGCTCGACCGGGTCTACCTGGGAAACACCTGAGGGAGCAGGAACCTGGGGAGGCAAGGGGTCTACCAAGGCAGCACCTGGCGTGAGGAAGAGCGGCGGAGGGGGGAGCGGGGCAGTGCGGTAGGGGAAGAGACGGTAGAAGGGGACCGACTCGTCAAACGTGACGTCCTGGGAAGACAGAACACGGCGCGAGGTGGGATGGTAAAACTGCCAACCAGGCGCGTCAGGGGGGAAGCCAAGGAAGACGCAGGGAACAGCACGGGGGGACAGCTTGTCCGCAGACAAGTCGCGGACAAAAGCCCGAGATCCCCAGACACGAAACGCAGACGCATCGCCAACCTTCCCCGTCCACCGCAGAGTAGGGGAGGTCTCCGGCAAGGAGACCCGGGGCTGAAGGTTGATCTGATGCGCCGCGTACTGAACCGCGAACGGCCACAGAAAATGGGGAGCAGCCGCATGGATCATGGACGTACGAGCGACGTCCATGACCATGCCAATGCGGCGCTCAGCAATCCCATTTTGCTGTGGAGAGGCCGGAAGCGTGAAGGTCTGGCGGATGCCCTGTGCACGACAGAAGGCTCGCAGAAGGTCAGAGGAAAACTCACCTCCTCTGTCGGAGTGCAGACGCAGGACAGGAAAGTCCGAGTCGAAACTCTCTCTGAGCTGGAGACGAGCTGCGCGGATCCAGTCGATCAACACCTCAGTGACCTCACCCTTGCTGCGCAAGGGGAAGACTGTGGTGTAACGCGAGTAGTCGTCAACCACCAGCAGGAAGTAACGCTCGTGACCCTGTCCACGGACGCGGGCTGGGCCCCACACGTCCATGTGAAGCGTCTGCAGCGGAGCCTCTGTCGGAGGAAACTCGGAGGAGTGAGGAGCGGCGCGCTGCCGCCCCTCGACGCAGGGAACGCAGGTGGGGGCAGGCCCCGGAGGAAGAGAAGGGAGGGACCGGGGGAGACCCGAGACAAGGAAACGAGAGGCCATGCCTCGGAGACGAGGCAGGGAGGGGTGACCAAGGCGGTGGTGCCAGAGGAGAGTCTGGTGAGACAGGAGACGACACGAGCAGGGGGCAGACTCAGGACCAGACCTGGACGCTGCAGCAAACACCTGACTCGACGCAGCTACCCGAGGAGACTCAGTAGTCAGTGTGTACAGGCTCGACCCCGGCTGACGGGTAAACGTGGCCAAGTGTCGGCCCGTCCGAGCACACGTACAGTGGGTCACTCGCTGACGCGCAGGAGTGAACTGGTCAACCCCTCCATCCTGTAGGTCAGCACCACTCACCAAGTTCGTAGAGAACGAGGGGAGGTAAAGACCTGACAAGGAGCCAGAAGGGGCCGCCTAACACGGTAAGACAGTGGAGAACTGGGCAAGGACAGGACCCCCAGAGGGGTCTGCCAGGGAGACTGCAACCGGCCGACTGAGCGGCGTGAGTGTGGTGCGGTCTCGAAAGAAGGAGCGGGAAGCACCCGAGTCAAGGGTGAAGGTGTGTAAAACCTGAGCCGACGTGGTACCTGAGAGAGCAGACTCACCAGCACCTGGGGCAGCAGACTCACCAGCACCTGGAGGAGTAGACGCACTAGCACCTAGAGCAGCAGCCTCACCAGCACCTAGAGCAGCAGCCTCAATGCCCGGGTCAGGCGGAACACACAGGTAACAGTCACGCACATCACTAGTAGGCAATGCATACATAGAAGTGAGGATAGCATCATAGTCAAGAGCATAGATATCTACCCTCTGCCTAAGCAGCTCCACCCAGTCGGGAGCTCAGCGGCGTCGCCAAACTCCGTACGCCAGGCGTCGCTCAGACGAGCGAAGCAGCGGGACTCTGCGTGACCAAACGTCACGCAAGGCTGACCAGTCCGAGCACCAGTGCGAATGACGTACGGACAGCGAGCAGTACTCCGTGACCCTCCACGCTGAGCGTACCACTCACGAAGCTGCTGGGGCGAAAGGACCGCGCGCGGACTACGCTGCAGCTGCACCTGGCCACTACAAGCAGCTCCCGAACTACTCACGCCAGAACGACTCTCACTACGGCCACCCCGACAACCCCAAGTAGCGTACCACTCACGAAGCTGCTGGGGCGTGAGGGACTCACGCGGACGTCGCTGGAGCTGCATCTGGCCACCGCCTGGGGCAGCAGGAGCAGTGGTAGCCGCAGTGGCAGCAGTAGCAGTGCGGCCACCCCTACAACCCCAACTAGCGTACCACTCACGAAGCTGATGGGGGGCGAGGGACTCACGCGGACGGCGCTGGAGCTGCATCTGGCCACGCCAGGAGCAGCAGTAGCAGTAGAAAGAGCAGCAGTAGCAAGAGCAGCAGTAACAGCAGTAACAGCAGAGCTCACCAGTGGCAAGAAGGGCAGGAGTACGACAGCGGCAATGGTGAGGCCGCTACCACCGCAGGGCGAGGGCTCCGCGGCTGCTGCAGGGACTGCTGCTCCAGAGGCCAGGGGCGGCTGCTGCAGGGGCGGCTGCTCCAGGGGCCAGGGGCAGCTGCAGCAGCGGCGGCTGCTCCAGGGGCCAGGGTGCCGCGGCGGGCAGGGGCGGCGGCGGCTGACACTGCAGCGGCGGCGGCGGCTGCTGGTGTCGGCGGCGGCGGCGGCTGCTGCTGTCGTCGGCGGCGGCTGCTGCTGTCAGTGGTGGCGGCGGCTGCTGCGGCCGGGGCAGGGGCGGCGGCGGCGGACACGGCAGCGGCGGCGGCGGCTGCTACCGTCGGCGGCGGCGGCGGCAGCTGCTGTCGGCGGCGGCGGCGGCGGCTGCTGCGGCCGGGGCAGGGGCGGCGGTGGCTGAGAAGGGGCCGCGGGGCCGCGAGGGGCCGTGAGAGGGGCCGCGAGGGGCCGCGAGGGGCCGCGAGGGGCCGCGAAGGGGCCGTGAGGGGCCGCGAGAGGGGCCGCGAGGGGCCGCGAGGGGCCGCGAAGGGCCGCGAGGGAGCCGTGAGAGGGGCGGCAGCGGCTGAGAAGGGGCCGTGGGGCCGCGAGGGGCCGTGAGAGGGGCCGCGAGGGGCCGCGAGGGGCCGCGAAAGGGCCGCGAGGGGCCGTGAGAGGGGTCGCGAGGGGCCGCGAGGGGCCGCGAGGGGCCGCAAGGGAGCCGCGACGGGGCCGCGAGGGGCCGTGGGAGGGGCCGCGAGGGGCCGCGAAGGGGCCGCGAGGGGCCGCGAAGGGGCCGCGAGGGGCCGTGAGAGGGGCCGCGAGGGAGCGGCTAAGGGGCCGCGAGGGGCCGTAAGAGGGCGCGACGGGCCGCTAAGGGCAGGGGACGCGACGGGAGGGCAGGCACACGGGGCGCGACTCGGGCAGGGGCGAAGCGCGCTCCGGGCAGGAAAAAAATTTCGATTTTCGGTGGGCCCTAGGAAACGTTCCCACTAGGGAACCTGCTCTATACCATGTGAAAGAATGAGGAAATGAATGCACTAGGAAACAGGTGGGTACAAGTAGGAAAACCTAAAAGTGTTGTACCCCATATTGTCTACCCCACTACAGTCTACACAGACTAAAGCATATAAGTTTGACACTTGATTGTGTGAGGGTGAAGCGGTTGCAGTGTGCGTAGTCTAGAATCAGCCATACAGCGTTGCCGATGCTGTGCATGCGAGCTGTCTGTAGTACCGTAGGTTGTATGAGTATTCTCGTGTGGAAATTCTAAACCCAGCACACATGGTTTCTAAGCACGCCAAAAGCTTGTTACGGTATGTTACCATAACTAAAACAGATGAGACACTGCAATGCAAATATCGGTACCTGAAACTCGCTCTTTCCTTTCCATTTCCAGCGAAGAGCTTCCGAGGCCTGACTGCAAGATCACTGCTTTGCCTCGCGATAAGAGACTCGCCTACACCCAAATTACCATACCAGTCACAGCAGCAACATCACCACCAGCCACACGGCCACCACCACCACTAGCTGAAACCCTAAACCTTAAACCCTAAACCTGCTGCTGGCCCTACAGCTTTGCGCTGGTCTCTTCATAAACCTCGTCCACTCGAAAATCCACCCAGTTGTACCGCGCCACCAGAGGCAGCACCGCCTCCGCCATCACCTGCTGGTGCCTCTCATCCCCCGCATACACCCGCAGAGCCGCCTCGTCCGCATGGTACCCCGCATACCCCCACGTGAACCCCTTGGCGCGAGCCGGCGCGAAATTCTCCCCTATGGAGACCTCGTGCAGGCCGGGGATCTCGCCCACGTGAGACTTGAGGGATGAGACCATGGTGGGGATGGCGGTGGGATTGGCAGTGGCGGATGGGCCTAGCTCCATGACCACAGAGTGGATCACCGAGAAGGGCAGACGCGACGCACCAGCATCGGCAGCAGCAGAGGCAGAAGCAGAGGCAGCAGCATCGGCAGGGACGTCTGTTTCCCAATCGACGGCCAGGATGTCACTGATAATCGGCTTGATGCACCCCTCCACCACCTTCACATGCTCCTCTGACCCTGCATACGCTTGGAGTGCGTCTCGTGACTCGTACCGGCCGAGAAGGGCGTGTGTCCAGGGGGATTGGGGCGTGTAGGCGGCGAGGGCTGGGGGGATGGGGAGTGCAGAGCCGACTGCAAGGAAGAGGACCCCGGGGGCGGAGGAGAGGGCGCGGAGACCGTTGACCATGGCTGCTACGGCGGATGGGGGCGTGTTGGGCTTCACCTGGGGGGGGTGACGGGTAGCGAAGGGGGGAGCGAGTGGGGGGACTGCAAAAATGAGAGGGAGGCAGCTGAAGCAGTGGTGGTTACGGCGATGCACAGGACCGTAAAGGGGGGAGCGGGGGAGGCGGAGAGCGCAGGGGGGATTGGGAGCGCGGAGCCGACTGCAAGGAAGAGGACCCCGGGGGCGGAGGAGAGGGCGCGGAGACCGTTGACCATGGCTGCTACGGCGGATGGGGGCGTGTTGGGCTTCACCTGGCGCGAGGGGAGAAGAGGGTGGGGGGAGTAGTGGGGAGAGGGAATGAGGGGGATATGAGGGCGCAGGCAGTTGACCATGGCTGCTATGGCGGATGACGGGGTGCTGGGCTTCACCTGGTGGAGGGGGGGAAGAGGGAAGGGGAAGTGGTGGGCAGGGATGAAGAGGATATGAGGGCGCAGGCAGTTGACCATGGCTGCTGTGGCGGATGGAGCGGTGCTGGGCTTTGGGCTTCACCTAAAGGAGGGAGGAGGGGAGGGTGGGGAGTGGTGGGGAGTGGGAATGGGGCGGAGGCAAGGGCACGCTGGCAGTTGACCATGGCTGCTACGGCGGACGGAGGGGGTGTTGGGCTTCACCTGGCCGGGTGGGGAGAAGGGGGAGAGGGAGGCGAGGGATGAGGGAGCTATGAGGGCGCGGAGGCCGTTGACCATGGCTGCTACGGCGGAGAAGGAGGTGTTGGGCTTCACCTGGGGGAGGGAGAGAGGCGGAAGGGAGTGGTGGGGAGTGGTGGGAAGGGACGAGAAGGTTATGAGGGTGCGGTAGCCGCTGACCATGGTTACTCATTTCTACAGCGTAGGAGATGTTAGGCTGCACCTGGTGGGGGTGGTTAAGGGATACTTTAGGGTCCGGAAAGGAGAGATGGGAAGAAGGGGCTGTGGGGGCACGAGTGTTGGAGGTGGAAAGGCCCGGCCAGGAGAGGAGGCGATGGCGAGGAGGCGATGGCGAGGACGTGTTTTGAGTCGACTTAAAATAAGGCCCGGCCAGGGGAGGAGGCGATGGCGAGGAGGCCGTTGATCGTGGCTGCTATGGCGGAACGGGGGTTGTTGGGCTTCACTTCACCTGGTGATGTTGCCGGGTGGAGTGGGGAGGGGAGCAACAGGGGGGAGAGACGAGGGGGCCAAGTGGGGGGTTTGCAGGAACGAGAGGGAAAAAAAGATGCAGTGGTGGTATGTGTCGTGGCGATCACTTGTGACACAGGACCGGTAAGAGGAGCAAGGGGATGGGAGGGGAGGGGAGGGTTTGTTGCATTGCAAATACAAAGCAAAGAATTACTTCGAGTAGCGTCGTAGGTATTATGAGGACCGTTGTAGGTAAAAGAGATTTGAATGGCATCGGGGGCGGCCCTTGGAATGACGGACGCCGCGGAATTCAATAACCCGGAGACTATTCGCTTTCAGACCTGTGGCCGCTGTGGATTCGCGATGCGACACGAGATGACGTGCGACGGCGTGCAGTATTGCCCAGCGACAAGCGCTGCATACGAGACGAAAGCTCCCCGCTGCCGCCGGCGGGGGGATTCGAAGCGAGAGCCGTGGCGGAGCGTCACGCGCACCTGCTGTGCTGCTGCTTGCAGTACAGTACGCACGCGGCGGAGGGCGGACGCAGAGATGCGCGCGTTCGACCAAAGCTCAACGCCCGAACATAAATCCACCATTTTGAGACCTCGATAGTTCCAGAGGCCTCAATAGTCTCGAGCGCGTCTCGAGAGGCTAGAGACCCACCTGGAAATACACGAGGTGCTCTACCACCCGTCGCGTCGTCGCGTTGCTCCCGTCGTTCCCCTCCGCGCTCGCACTTCCCGCCGCCGACGCCCTCGCAGCCATGGACGCGCGCTTCGACCCGCGGCTATTTGTCCTTGCTGGCAGCGCGGTGACGAGCGGGCCGATCGCACCGACGGACCGACGGCGAGCTTGGGAAAGCGTGAGGAGCGGGATCGGGTTGCGGACCGACGCGGCTCGCCCGGAGGAGGAGAAGGCGGACGAGTGACGGAGCTGCGAGGTGCTACTGCTGTAGGCCGCAATGAGCGGCGGTGTAAGCGTGAGACGCGCGGCGGCCATGGCTTGATGGAGGGGTGCGGATTGGGAATTGGGTGGGTTGGAATGCGGTGATTGGTGAGATTTCGGGGAGTGCATTGTGGTGGACCGAGGATGTTGTCTGTACTCAATATAGACCTATGTTAGCGAGCCTCTTGTTGGTGACACGTACGATATGCACATTATTGAATGTGGAAGTACAATACAGGGTACAGTTACAATGCAAAAGATACGAGTCCAAGATAGCTGGTAACTCAAAAGTATGCTATAACACAGCAGCTGTCAGCTTAGTAAGAATTAATACGAATACATGCCCCAATTCATGAATGCTTTTGCTTTCGTCTCGACAACTTCACTTTGTCAGCCACCTTCTTAGCTGCATCTGCTGCCGCCTTCTTGGAAGTGTCCATTGCTTTCCTGACACTGTCAAGATCTTTCTTTGTAGTTTCACCTACTGGAGATGGGATGGGTGCAGCTACAGTGGTTGATATCGGTGCCGGTGGTGCAGCCGTCACTGACCCTGACTCACCTGCCTGCTTGCTGCTATTGCTAGCGCTGCTGCTGCTGCCGCTTCTGCCGCTGTTGGCGCTGGTATCAGCACCAGAAGTTGAACCTAGAGGGCCTGAGACACTGCTTCCATTATCTGCTCCATTGCCTGTCTTTCCTTGCTGACTCAGCGAGTTCTCCATACCAGCAGCCTCAGGAGGAGAGGTCGAGCCAGGAGCAGCAGGGGAGACAGCGGCAGCAGTGGCATTGTCAGTGGCAGTCGCAATGCCAGTGCCAGTGCCAGCGGCAGGGCCAGTGACAGTGCCGGCAGTCCCAGACGCTGTGCTGCCCACTCCTGGTTTCTTCCTGCTCGACTTCCCTGACTGGGGTGATGATGACTCACTGCTGCCGCCGCTGCTGCTGCTGCTGCTCATGCTGCTGGTGATGGTGGTGGTGGTGGTGGTGCTGCTGCTGCTCATGCTGCTGGTGATGGTGGTGGTGGTGCTGCTGCTGCTGCTCATGCTGCTGGTGATGGTGGTGGTGGTGGTGGTGCTGCTGCTGGCGCTGCTGCTGCTGGTTTTGCTGAGAGCATTCATGGCTGCCAATGCATCATAACATAAAGAGGTGGAGATCGGGAGTGGGTGGACAGAACAGGGTTAACGACATGGTAGGCTTTTGCAGTGCACATGGAATGCACGTGCAGTGCACATTCCTGAAGGACAAGACGAGCAGGTGACTCCCATTGGCAATCAATCAAAACAGAGACACATCATCCTCCAGGCACCTGCAGTCAACCAAACCCTTCTCACTCTTTCCCATCCCCTGCATGCCACCACATACCCCATACAACCGCACACCACCCCACGCATCCCCCATCCTCATGCAGACAGACGCACTTGGCACCAACTGAGCTGCTTCAAAGCAAATCCCGCCACCACACCCTCCCTCACCCCAACCTTTACCCCAACTCCAACCCCAGTTCCAGTCCCAAGGCCAGCCCAAACCCCAGACTCGACCCAAAGTCCCAACTCTAGTCCCAATCCCAAATCCCCAGAAGTCCCAACCCATGCATACCGGCACACTGGCGCCTGAACTCCTGATGGGAGAGACCAGTGCTGGCGCAGAAAGGATTGTTGAGTCGACTCAATAACCCATCCCTGAATCGCCCAAAGCCCCCCAGCCCCATGCATACCGGCACACTGGCGTTTGAACTCTTGATGCGAGAGCGCAGTGCTGGCGCAGTAGGGGTTGCGGGGGCACTTGGCCATGCCTGCAGTGCACTCCCACTGCTGGCACAAGGCAGGGTCCTCGTCCAACACAGAGGGAGAGGATGCTCGCACCCAGTACTTGGCTGCCACCGATGCTGATGATCCGTTGCTGCTGCCGCCGCTGCCACTGCTGCCGCTACTACTGCTGCTGCTCTTGTCGCTCCAGTTGCCAAGGAGCTTGCAGTCCACAAAGCCATCGCACCACGCCACGTACGGCACGCACTGCACGCCGTTGGGGCACTTGCGGTACCCCTCTGCACACGCCCTGGCGCGGCACATCACGGGGTCCTCATCCTCTGTGTACGGCCGGGATTGGTTTGCGCTTGCCGGACAGTCATTGACCCCGTTGCACCACCGGTACTTAGCTAAGCACAGCCTGCTGCTGTTGCTCTTGCTGCTGCTGCACATTTCCTCTCCGGGTCGCGGGCATGCAAGGCATACCTTCGGGTCCTCGTCAGGAGAAAACAATAGAGAGGACGCAGCAGATCCTGACGCTCCTGTGCCTCCCGAAACAGCAGCCCCTCCGTTTCCATTCACAACAGGGCAATCGTTCCTCCCATCACACATCTTAGCCGCGTCTATGCATGCATACGACCCTTCGCACTTCACTTGAGGCGGCTTGCACCGGTGGGAACGGCACGCAGAAGGAGACTCATCGAACGTGTAAGGAACGGAAGGGTCTGTTACAGGACAGTCGTTCTTTCCATTGCAGAACAGCGCTCGGTTTATGCACATCCAGCTACTGTCACACCGCCGTTCCGAGGCATACCGGCACGGGAGTGACCGGCAGAACTGGGGGTCCTCGTCCTCGGTATAAGCTGAACCTGGTTTCGTTACGGGGCAATCGTTCGCTCCGTCACAGAAAAGGAAGTCAGGTATGCACGTGTTACTGCTGTTGCACTTGCGGTAACCAGAGGCGCACGCGAAACCCGAGCAGAAGCTTGGGTCCTCATCATTGGTATACGACTTCGAGGAGTCGGTAACCGGACAGTCGTTACGCCCGTTACAAAAATCCCCTTCCCTGCGACACACGTTACTGCTGCTGCATTTTTTGTACCCTTGCGGGCACTCATAGTATTGACAGAAACTCGGGTCCTCATCTGGTGTATAGCGCACACTCGGAGCCGAAACCGGGCAGTCGTTCTGCCCGTTACAAAACAATTCCTTATCCAGACACGCCCAGCTGTCTTCGCACTTAATCTCCGCCCCTTCCCGGCACTCGAACGTCAGGCAGATCTCCGGATCCTCGTCCTCGGTATAAGGCAACCCGGTGTAATCCTTCGTGCGCGGACACTCATTCACGCCGTTGCAGAGAGCACCAGGGGTGCAGGACGAAGGCGAGGAGGCGCACTGCAGGCAGAAGCCCCTCTGGACGCAGTAAGCTAGGTCCTCATCGGAATGGTCTGTGCAGTCGGGGTGACCGTCACACAGCATCCCCCCTGCTGCCATGCAGCCTGAGCCTGGGCAGGGGAACTGGGAAGGGGGGAGAGCGGGGAGGGAAGGGGGGGTGGGGGGGTTTGGGAAAAGGGATGGGGTTGAGGATGCGGGGACGACTGTTGGAGGAAGGCGAAGGGGAGACTGGAAAGGGGAGAAGGGGAGTGAGGACGGGGAGAGGGTCGCGGCGAGAGAGTGCTTGCTGAGGTCTGTGGCTGGGCATTTGATACCACTTACAGGTGGTACAGCATAGGTACTTATGATCTAATCTTTAGGGTGGGGAGGGGGGGGGGGGGGGGGGGGGGGGGGGGGGGGGGGGGGGGGGGGGGGGGGGGGGGGGAGAGGGGGAGAACACATCATTGTCTCTCGCTTTCCCCCCAACCCCCTCCCTTCCACACACACACAGACGCTGGCAATCCCCCTCCTCCTCACACATGCACATCCATACACAACCATGCATGGATGCAATTCAATTCAGGGGACAGGGTGTGGGGTTCGCAAAGAGGAAATCTCCGGAACACGCAACCACATGCACTGCAGCCTTCCGCCCTCTGATTGCCACACGTTTCCCTCTTACTCCCTCTTACTCCCTCTGACTCCTCTTTACCACACTGCACAATGACACAACCTCCCTAACCGCGCTCCTCCACGCCAAGCCCGGATCACCTGATTCACGGCACACCCGCTTGCAGTAGGCACTTTCCCGCTGATCACTCCAGCTTCCTGCATCGTCCTCCGCGCTCCTCCTCCTCCTCCTCCTCCTCCTCCTCCTCCTCCTCCTCCTCCTCCTCCTCCTCCTCCTCCTCCTCCTCCTCCTCCTCCTCCTCCTCCTCCTCCTCCTCCTCCTCCTCCACCTTCTCCTCCCCATTCCCCCCTTCCTCCTCCCCTTCCTCCTCCCCCTCCTCCTCCCCCTCCTCCTCCCCCTCCTCCTCCCCCTCCTCCTCCCCCTCTGCGCCAGGCGGACATGGCAGGCACGGATGGCGGAAAGGGCAGGGCAGGCGCAAGGGTACGGGCGTGGCTCCCCGCACTGCTGCGCCGCCCCATGCCCTGCGCGCTCACAGGCTGCCGGAGGGAGAGGGCGGGGAGAGCGGGGGCAGGGGAGACGGGGCGGGGGGTGGGGGAGAGGAATCCATGGGGAGGAAGAGAGGAGGGAGGGAGGGAGGGAGGGAGGGAAAGAGGGAGGGAAGGAGGAGAGCAGAAAGTAAAGGAAGCATCGGGGGCACGGGGGATGCGGGGAGGAGGGGTGAGAGTGGGGACACCGTGAGTAGGAGAGCGGAGAAGGAGAGTGGGCGGGAAGGCATGGGTAGGAGGGGCAAGGAGAGTGCGGGGCAGTGTGAGTGAGGGATGTAGAGTGGGATGGAGGCGGCGGGTAGTTACGGTAACTGTGTCAGAAAAGAGGGAAGGTAGGCGGAGAGGGAAAAATGGGAGAGGGTGGGGGGAGTGCAGGACGATGGCTCACCTGATTCGTTCCACCCGTTGCCGTGGCGGCTGCTCTAGTCCGTGCGAGACAGAAGAGCGACGCGAGGGCGACCACGAGCGCGAGACATATACGCGGGCGGCCCTGGGCGACGCCATGCGACAGACGCAGACGTCGGCGACTCTGATCATTCTGCCTTGAAGGAGAATTGGCAGTAGGAACAGCTAAAGCACGTATCGACTTGTCGTCGTCGTCGTCTTCATCGTCGCTCGCGAATCTGTCGCAGCGACCAGATCGGCGGCGCGCGGCGGAGAATGGTTGGCGGAACCGTCGCCGGAATCGTCGTCGTCGTCGTCGGTGCCGTAGGCGGCGCACTAGAAACCTGCCGTCGGGGTCTGCGAATCGCCCTCGCCGAAGAGGTTGACGAGCGGCAACGGATTCCGTCGCGCAGACGATGTCACCGCCGCGTCGTCGGAGGGCCGCGGTTGCGGCGCGTCTACCTCGACAGCACCGCAGCCGCCGGTGCCGCCGCAACGACCAGTGGCACTGCCATCGCAGTACTTCTTTTAACAGCCGCTCAGTCATTGCCACGTCGGCATTCACAGGACTACCACTTGGAGTACTACTAGTTCTGGCAGTGGTCATATCATATCGGCAGCGCCAGTGTTACTATAGTGAACGTTGCTAGTAACAGGATCCGGGTATTACATTATAAGTTCTCCCGGGCATGGTTCCAGCAGCAGTCTTGTTCTGCCAATACAGTATTATATTCGACGACTGGTATGGCAGCCTTATAACGGGGAAATAGAGAATGGAATATTGCTAGCCTGTCTGATAATGGATGTGAATTATCATATTGTCAAAAACGGCCGACACGCTACAGCGTCATATTTCTGCATTCGCGCATCGTGGAATTCGATAGTGGACAGAACTATCATGATTCTGTGCTTTCTGCTGAAGCAACCATCATGCACCCGTTGCTGCAACCCGTGTGCTAACTAATAACACCACTGCCATGGTGGGACCCTTGAGGCATTGCGGCTCGTAAATACCCCTGGGGATGACGGCTTTCCCATGGTTGTGGCGGCACAAGTGGTGTACATTTCGACTGTGTCGACCCAGTGTCTGGTTTGGCGTGCTGTGCTGTGGGTAGGAGAGCACGAGATAAGCGCATACAGCCTGACATCCTTGCTGGCTGGTTGCAAGGAACGGGATGGTACTGTATGGGAGCAGCGCCTGTCAGCCCAAAACCGCAGCCAGTGACTAGGGAACCACTCATGCCCTCTCTGATGTGCCCTTGCCTCTGACCGACACAACGTCCCGACGAAAGAAGACAAACGTGTACTGTATTTGGCTTATTTGCGCATCGCAGGTGTGAAGGTGATTCGCGAAGCGGAAGCCGTTTCCCTCGGTTCTTATTCATCAACTTCGATTGATGGTACATGGATGCATCAAATGCAAGAAAGAGTAACTGCTGCATGGTTTGGTTTGGAAATTCAGAACACAAAATGCGCTACATTTAGAGAATGCCAGATCCCTTCTGAAACAACACAAGTTGAAGCATTACTTCATTTATTGAAACATGGATGTTCCATGTATTATGCAAAATAAATAGGATCATAGTAGGTTAGCCATTAGGCCGTACACTAGCTAATAGAGTCAGCATCTGCGAAGGTCACCACCAGCTTCATGGCATCGCCTCCTCCGTCTCTGCCCGGTACTTCCACTCGAAGAACGCCCTGCCGACGACTCCTCAATAGCGGCAAAATGAAAAAGACTACTCGGAGGAGCCATAGGGCCACGGGTAATAGCAACCTGCGAGTCAGTGGTGGATGTCAGCTGTGTGGTGCGGCCTGACAGGAACGACGCCTCCTCTGCCGCAAGCAGTGGAGGCGGTGGCGACTTGGCAGAAGCAGCAACTTCTACCCGTTGAGTGCGTGCCAGCCATGGGTGAGAGAGCAGGTGAGGAGCCGAGGGGCGGCTGGCGGGGTCCACTGAGAGCAAGCAGCGCACAAGGTGCTTCGCCTCGGGTGATATCTTCGACCAAGGTTCAGCTGTCATGTCAGGCTCGTTGGCGCAGATGGCAAGGAAGACCTGGGGGAGGTCCGACCCATAGAATGGCACGTATCCCGCCAGCAACACATAGAGGAGCACGCCCAGACTCCACAGGTCTGCGCTGCTGTCGTATGCACGCCCGCACACGACTTCTGGGGCCATGTAGAAAGACGAGCCTGCCAGGCCCACTGCTTTCTGCCCAGGAGAGAGCATTATTGCCTGACCAAAATCCGCCAGCTTCACGTGTATCGAAGGCGGACCGCTGCCGCAGCTGCTTGACCCGTTATAGGTACCATGCGCGGTGTTGCAAACGAGGATGTTCTCCGGCTTCACGTCCAGGTGCAGCACGCCGTGCGAGTGGCAAAACGCGACCGCTTCCACCACCTGGCGGAACACGTCCGCCGCGAACGCCTCGGGCAGTCGACCAGCCTTGGCGACAAGGTCAAACAAGTCGCCTCCGTCGCACAGGTCCATGACGAGATGCACGTCGCGCGCGTCCTCGTGCACGCTCGCGAGCTGCACGACGTGCGGATGCGGTGGCAGCGCGCCCATGCAAAGGAGCTCCATTTCCAGGTCGCCCGCGCGCTCGCCCTCGCGTAGCCGCGCCTTGTCGACGGACTTGCACGCTAGAAGCTGCCCCGTCGCGCGCTGCATGCACGTCCGGACGACGCCGAACTCCCCCCGGCCGAGCTCCTCCTGCGCGACCGCGTATACGGACTCCAGCGGCGCTGTCGAGAACGGCAGCATGCGGGCGGCATTGCGGCTGGCGGCGGTGGCGTCGGCGGAAGCACTGCCAGTGGTCGCGGTGGTAGTGCTTGCAGGAGCGGCTGCTGCTGATCTTGCTGATAGAAGCAGTTGACGGTGGTGAGAGCAATCCTCCATCTCCATCGGTTCTGATGCTGCAGATGCATCACCGCCGGAAGCTAATGTGACGTGATTGTCGTAGGGCAAGAATCGCGCCGAGTCGACCATCGTTCCTCCGAAGTCTGCGGCCATAGTATTATCTAAAATGGTCTGCTGTACTGTAATGATAGCGGTGCGGGCCTCAATGCCTTCAAAAGAAGTATCACACAATCTTTGTGGCGCAATCGCGTTTCTGAGGTCCTGAGGTTTGAAGCTTTCAAAAATGGATGGCTATGACATAACCCGTGGATGAGATTCTTGAACTATGTACTCCAATGGAATCGACTCGTACGTCAACCACTATTGGACGCTTTCTCAGAAAAAGGACCAATACAGAATGCGTACTTGCTGACTGACTTTGCAACAGTTCTAATACTGTACGTTCCTCTAACAGTAGTACTGTTCTGGAACGCCTTTGGCGTTTCGGAGGCTCATATCGATATTCGATTTCGTGCTGCAAGGACTCCTGACCGGTGGTGGTTGGACCATCATCACCATCATTCGTCGGTGCTTACAGAACTCGAGGGTAAATTATAAGCAGGTGCTACGAGACACCACAGGTCAGTACGCAGGACATGTGCCGGGTTCTGCTGGTCCCCCTCGTGCTGTACGAGGTAGACTCTTTCAGAGCCACAGACGGAAAACCAACGCAAACGCCTACCCCAGAGAGAACCCAGCTCGAGCCGCGTGAGAGCTGCTCTGCGTGTACTACAGTGTAGTTAGCTTGACCTGGTTGCGTGCTTCGCAAGAGCTCGGGCGGGACGAATCTGTTCTCCAAACACGATGTGCCACGTTTGCTTCTGAGTTCGCATGACGCGGAGGGCAACTAACGCGGCAGCCATAGTGCTCTGGCGCAGTCAGCCCCTCGTGACGAGGAGAGGAGGGGAGGAACAGAAAGAAACCTCTGTTCCAACCTGGAAGTTGCACTGACGCTGCTGGTGCAAGGATGTTGTGAAGCAGAGGGACCAGCAGACGAAAAAATGCACTGTACCCGGAAACAGACGCATCGTCAGAAACATTTGTCCGGTCTACCCTACTACACACACGTACTGCCTAACACGGGCATTTAGCCGCTGTTTATTATGAAACTTTTCAGCGCTGCATCTGGCTCGTACGTTTAAAAAAATCAGGGTTGAAATATCCAAATTAGGTGAAATCCATACTGGTGGTCCTTTCCACATGGGTACAGTACCGATGTCACCCCACACATCCTGTCCAAATTTATTGCAAACTGCTAATCTGCAGTAATTGAGTCACGTCGGTTAGACAGAAGGTTAATGTTTAGAGGCCAGTACCGTTACGAGTACACGAGGGGGTACAAGTACAATGACTGGAAGAGCTACCATGAGAAACAAACATGCACTACGTGTCTGGCTAGAAACCCATTCTCCCAATAAATTCGAGGCTGGATTAAAATAGAATTTCTAGTCTGCAACATATCTATTCGCATGGCACTGAAACGTTACGGGCACATTGGTGCGAATTTCGATGGCAAGATACTTTCATTGGCTGATGAACGCAAGGAGGTGCTTCACAAAATACACTTGTTTGCCGTTACTTTCACGCAATAAAACGAATCTAAGCGACAGACGCTGGATGTGGCAACCCTTTCAATATCTTATGACGGTACGGCTGCAGCCTCTGTTGTATGTGATCAACACCTTCAACTGCATATGTGACCCATCTGCAACATTTTCTACTTAGGTCATGACTAGTAAACCTTCCCAATAATGCATTTAGCCTCTACCGAGGGGCAAAGGAATTCTTAGAGTAGTGCCTCTTTGAATACCAGATCATCAAGCCAACAGGGAAGTGTAAAAAAAACTATAAATCTCGTAAATTTGTTGGTACATATAAAGTTTTTAATGATTTGGTTTAGTTATATATGTATAATATATAATATTCGCCCCAAGTTATTCTAGTTAGAGTTAAAATATATATTTAGGGAGGTAGTCGCAAACTTTTACTATAAATATATATAATGTACAATAAGAAAATGGTTTTCCATATCTTGGATTTATGACTTTCGGTGCACCTACAAGCATCTAAGCAACTAAATGATGCTAGGGACTCAGGTATAATGAAAGGGTAGGTAAGATCCAACTGTTATACAGATAAATGAAATTCAGGCTTTGCCAAGTCTTAACGATATTACGGTCGGATGGTCGGATGGATCAAATGGGGAGATGATTCAAGATCGCCTATGATATTCCACATGCTTATAGATTGTTTGCAAAATGTGATCCTGTATCTTTCTAAAACAGATACAACTGCTGATGGCTTGCAGTTACAGACTATGTAGTTTACCTGTCACTGTAATCTATGTGTTGCCTCTGTTGAATTCCAAATGGGAGGTGTCTCGGATCGAGCCTTTGGAACATGAAAAATATGGGCAAAACGTGTACATTGAGTCTAACCGCTGAAGGAGGGGCTGTGCATTTGCGCAAGCAAACCACCATGTGCACTCCAGCAGAAGGGGGAAAAGGGGATGGGAGAGGGGAAGGGGAGGGAGAGATTTGGAGGAGGTTGGGAAAGAGGTAGGGGAGGGCGCGTGTACGGTATTGGAGGTCAGGTGGTTGGTTTCGGAGGATGCACTTCCTCCATCGTGCAACAGCAGCGATCTCCTCGCCTCAGGCCCTCCGCAACGACTTGAGTTTGCGCGCAGTCGGGTCGGGTCAAGGCACTCATTGTCGACGTGGATTTCTTCTGCCCACCGACACTCACGGAAGCACAACGCTGATTTGACGAGAAAATATCATGAACACTGTACAAACTGGAGTGTCTGATGTGAATCTAATCTGTGCTGGTCCAGCGCTTTGCGTACGCATGCGTCCACAGTACGAGCTTATTTGACTGTGGTACGGCAACCTCACCTGATTCTGATCTGTCACAAGACGATGCCAGCCTGGCAGAGAACCAATATGGCTGTCTCGCATCGCATTTAACGCAGCGCAGATAACTATCGCACCGCAGGGGAACTATCAGAGAGAAAGTTTGGGGGGGAGGACGCGGGGGAATGGATGCTGTCAGCCTGTGACTGCTGTTCGTACACAGGTAACAGGACTCGTGCAAGAAGCCACCAGAGACACGCTTGAGGGTTGTTTCGAACAGTCTGGTTTTAAGGAATGAACGATTCAGACTCCGCTTAAGAGTCAGCTGGAAACTAAAAGCATGGTCGCAGCGGAAGATCCAGTCTTTGCGTTGCGGGCACAAAGTCACACTTTCACAACATCGACACTTTACAATGCCACGGGATAGCCTCTAGATCCTTGGGTGTCTGATCCCCAAAGCCAAAAAAGGTCCAAATGGGCTCAAAACTGACGGGGTGTGAAATTGGCGCGGGCTAGGTGTACACCAGACGAGTTGCGTGTTTACTGCTGATGCAATTTGGGAACGGATCAACCCTAAACACCAGACGAGTTGTATGATAGTAAACATTGTTTCCGTGTGCAAACTTCTCTACCATCACACACACTAAAAATTGCTGCTTTCACATTCCAAACCTCGCTGATCACATTCCAAACCTTGCTGCCGTTACATTCCAAACCTTGCAGCCATCACGCACCCCACTTCACACCCCCTCATTCACATCCGTGCATCCGCCATGTATGGGGTCTCCACCCAAAGGGCCCCACCTGTTGATGTAATTGTAAGGAAAATTCCTTTTCCTTACTTCGCGTCCCCACTCAGCGCGTACACCACTGTAGCACCACAATCAGCACCGTTACCACTCGCAACTCTCGCATCGACAATCCTCCCGCCACCTTCGCACGTCGCACCCCGACCTTCACGACTCGGCGGGTAACCCGCGCTCCGCGCGCTTCGACACTTTTCCCAACCTCAGTCCCAGGCCCGTCACGCGACAACCACAGCCTATTACCGTTACCACAGTAGTTTCGCTTTATATTCTTCGCTCATGCCTTCGCTCATTGTATTCTTGCTTCAATAGTGCAATTCTCGCTCGCTCACTCAATTGCACTCGTAACACTTGGTATTCAGAGCCTACGATCTCTTCTCGGACCGCACCCACACCTTCTCTTCCCCACTATCTCAATTTTTTTGGGGGGGGTAGACGTCTCTCAGCGACACAGCACCGCCGCTCGTAGTGCTCTCTCGTAAGCACGCACGGCCACGACCGAGGCTCTCGCTGAGCTCGCCCGACACCCCCGCCATGGCCGAATTCACGCTCGCCACATTGACGCAGGAGCAGCTCGACCGTCTGGTGCGCCAACTTGAAGATTCGGCGCTCGAAATTGCGACGCTCACGGCGGAACGTGACTCGGCGCGTCAGCAATCAACGGTGAACACTCCAGCGCCACCACACGCACCGACAAATGCATCTGCACAATCGGATGAGCCGATCGTCATTTCATCCGGCACACAAACACAAAACAACAGCGTGGGACAGCGCTCAGGCGCAGCCAGTGATGGCACCGCCCAGCCGATGCCTGGCATGGGAGGAAACAGGGTCGCACCAAGCCCGCGGGAGCCTCGCGAAGCCCGTCGGCACGTGGAGTTCGCGGCGACAAGTGGCGAACAGGCCATTATGGCACCAATGCCACTCAAGCCGCAACGCCCGCCCTGCTTCGACCCGAGCCAGCGTGGAGGCCCGACGGTTCAGTCGTGTGTCTTCACGATGAACGTCTTCTTCGACGCGAATTATGTCGAGTCGGATGTAGCGAAGATTCGGTATGCCGTTTTGCTGCTGAGGGGCCCCGCCATGGACTGGTGGCGAGTCATCGTGACGTCGCCACGTGCCTACGAGCCACCGTCGCAAGAGGAAGGGCCCACGGGCCCAGCTGTCACCTGGAGTTCATTCTGCGAGACCGCCCAATACAGCACGTGGGATGCGTGGTGCGCAGGGCTTCGGGCGCGCTTCGAGCCGATCGCGGCTTCTATTTCGGCGCGTCAGAGATTGCGCACTTGGCGGCAGCTCGGGTCGGTTCAAGACTATACGAGTGGTTTTCTCGCATTATGCGAGCAAGTCGGCTACATGCACGAAGCAGAGCGGGTGGACCGTTACGTCGGAGGGCTGAAGCCGGACATCTCGCACGAGATTATGCTACGCA